AGAAAGAATTACAAAGATTTAAAACATCAAACAGGTATACTATAATAATATAATTAATTGAGAATCTAATGATACTTATTTGGTATCATAAATATTATTATTATATTATATAAATTGGATTAAACTTGAGATGTTTTGACTCTTCAAGAAAGTTGAAATGACTTATAGTTTGGGATGGAGGGAGTAGCTAGGAAGATTTTGGAATCCAAGATAGAATCTACCTTGTTCGATGTGATTTTCGGAAGTTCCCCTATATTCTATAATCCGAATCCAATTCAAACGGGCCCTAAAACTCTCTCTCAGCATCTCCGAGAGTGTTCGCTCTCCATATTATTATTTGGCGACTCATTTGAATAAAATTCCTCTCTATATCTTTCCACCCTCTAACAACTTTTATATATCTTGTAATTAACTTGCTTCCTCATCTTTAGCAACTCCCATGTATCTCAAACCTTGCAAGGGCATGCCGCACGCTAGTCATGATTGTTAGGATGTTGCTTTAATGCCAGCAACTGAACCTCAGTCATCCTCTAAGGGCCTATTTAGATCCACCAGCTAAACTTTAGCTGGCTAAATTTAGCTACTAGGATCCAAACGTTCTAGCTAAAAGCCCAACTAAAGTTTGGTTGAGTTTACCTGTTTCAACCCAATTAAAGTTTAGCTGAGTCTATTAGCTAGAGGATCCAAACACCTCAAATAAAGTTTAGCTGGTTGAACTTTTAAATGGCTAAAGATTAACTTTGAAATTTTAATTAAGTAAGCTTCAGTTAGGTGGATCCAAACATGGCCTAAATAGGGGTGGAGTTAGAAGTTATACATAAAGAAAATCGACATATAATAATAGTACCACTCAATAAGTTTGACGACGATAAAATATCGATGACTACTACCTTTCTTACAAATATATGCTATTAATATATATAAAGTAAAAATGTTGTTGCGTTGTTCGTGAAGGCGGGGGGCAATGGCCCCCTACCGCACTCTGGCTCCATCCCTTCATGTAAACCCATCGTCGCCTCATTGTATATTTCTTTCTTGTTTTTGGTAATCCCATGTTGCCGGATCTACTCTGGTTCTCGTGGTCATGCAGGCGACCATGAGGTACTTACGGCTGCGTCTGTCATGACTTGTGGGCGTCCACGTCACCGAGATACTCCTCTTTCCTTTCCTCACATTCATCATCCTTCCGCTTTGTTCGCCATGAACAAGAGGCGATGCGAACGTGGATGGCAGGGAGTATTCACGAGCCATGTCGAGCCAGCGCTCTCCAATGCGGCTGCGCCCTCTGGCGAGATGGAGATGGTAGCGCCCTCCAATGCGGCCACGCCCTCTGGCGAGATGGAGATGGTGTGAGCTCCGCATTATATATATGTATATACTGCACGGGGCTGTACATGCCCTCTATCGAATAAAATAAAATAAATTGTATATTGTGTATATTTTAGATATGTGTTTGTATAGGGTTGCATGATGAGCCCTGTTTGTTTTTTTTATTCCGAGGAATGGCTCCCAAGTCCCAACACATCTCTTGTGATGCTCGTTGACGCTTGTTTTCGCTCGAAAATCCACACTCCAGGGTGTCCTAAGAATCGTGAGCCAATCGCGTCTCCTCATCCACAGCAACCAAGGCAAGCGGCGTAAGTGGCTATACTAAGACGGTCTCCAACTGATGACTGGTGTTGACACCCAAACTCAAAATAGGTCATGGATAGTACTGTATCAGTCTCCAACAGAATATCTATATGCGAGACCCATTTTGGGTTATAGCAGAGGCACAATCTAAATATGAGTATCCTCTCTCTAGAGACTTATTTATAGAAATGGTTCTCTTTTGTGTCATGTTGCTGGAGAAGACAAAAAATATGTATTGAACACTTTGTCTGTAGCACTACCCAAAATATGAAATGGGTCTTATATTTTAGGTGATGTTGTTGGAGATAGTTTAATCGGACTTTGTTAGGGTGCCGCTACCATGTGTGTTTCAGTCTATATAAAGTAAAAAAGTATTGTTGTGTTCTAGGGGGCTACCTCACCCTGGCTACACCACTGCATGTAAACCCGTCACCGTCTCATTGCATATTCTTCCCTGTTTTTGTTAATCCCGTGTTGTCGGATCTTAAACCCGTCGCCGCCTCATTGCATATTCTTCCCTGTTTTTGTTAATCCCGTGTTGTCGGATCTATCGTCCGTGTTGTCGGAGGTTTAAATTCTTTTATATATTGAATTTGAGTATAAAAAAGCCGTACTATAAAGGGGGCACAATGCTTAAGCTCATATGTGCTACAAGTGCTTAAACAGCCACAAGCATCTTCAAATTCACAGGCAAGACAGTCTGCACTTCACTATTACCCTTCCTGTCTTTGCGTGGTGCGAGCTCCATCTCGCCCGACCTCTTGGGTGCGGGATCCGGCTCACCCAACCCCTTGGGTGCGGGATCCGGCTCGCCCGACCTCAGGGTCATGGGATCCGCCTCGCCCGACCCCTTAGGTGCAGGATCCGGCTCGCCCGACCCCTTGGTCGCGGGATCCGCCTCGCCCGACCCTAAGGTCGTGGGATCCGCCTCGCCCGACCTCGAGGTCGCGGGCTCCGTCTCGTCCGACCTTGAGGCTATGGGCTTCCTCTCGTCCGACCCCTTGGGTGCGATGTCCATTAAGGGTTGGGGTATATATATATATCTTTCCCTTTCCTCGCCAACGGCTTTCTGCAATTTAAAGTGACCGTTGGGGGCTGGGGGTATATATACATTTTCCCTTCCTTTCCAACGGAAACTAACCCGCTCTCTTCTTCCTCACTTCAGCACGCCTAAAACAGAGCAGTAGCTCTCTCTCTCACTCTATTATTGACCTTAAGCCCCCAAGCAAATCCATTGATTTTCCCATCAATTCTTGAGGGATAAGGGTCCAAAACTCGATTAGAGAGCAGCTCCATTGATTTCCAAACTCTAAAGAGCACTTGGTTCACGTTTCCAAACTCTAAATGCATCCATCTCTTGTGATGCTCGTTGACGCTTGTTTTCGCTCGAAAATGCACACTCCAGGGTGTCCTAAGAATCGTGAGCCAATCACGTCTCCTCATCCACGGCAAGCCAGGCAAGCGGCGTAAGTGGCTATACTAATCGGACTTTGTGTGTGTGTGTGTGTGTGTGTGTGGGGGGGGGGGGCTACCTCACCCTGGCTACACCACTGCATGTAAACCCGTCGCTGCCTCATTGCATATTCTTCCCTGTTTTTGTTAATCCCGTGTTGTCGGATCTATCGTCTGTGGCTATACTAATATGACTTTGTTAGGGTGCCGCTACGATGTGTTCCAGTCTCGTTTATCTTTTACATTCAACGATAAGTTGACCAGGGGCGTAGCTAGAAATTACTGATAGGAGGGGGGCAAGTGCTAAACGATATATTGGACCCGTTCGCTTCGCTGAAAAAACAAGCCGAAACACTGTTCTGACCGATTTGTTGTGAGAGAAAAATATTGTTCCGGATGAAAAAAAACAAGCTGAAAAGTACGGATTATAAGACAACGAACAGTGTCATTATTAGAGAGGAAGGACAAATTAATATGTTTTATTAAATTATATAGCAAAATGTCATGTGCATCTTGGCCTCCTCAGCCCCTCACTCCCTCCGTCCCTGTAGTTGGCTCGGTTTATAAAATCGCATGTCTTGCACACATCACCACCACTGGGCGACTTTTGTGATTATGGGCTTTCTCTAGGCTTGTTAAATTCATTCGTAACCCGAAAACTCAACAAAGCTACTCCCTCCGTTCCAAATTATAAGATGTGTTGGTTTTTTTAATATGTTGCATTTGTTATGCATATAGATATACACTATATCTATGTTTAGATATATAGTAAAAACAATGTATCTAGAAAAGTTAAAATGTCTTATAATTTGAAACGGATTTAGTAGTAAACAAAGACAAAGAAGGCGAAAGTAGAAAGAAAAAAAATCATTTGTTACCTCCCTATGAAATACTCGGTTATAATATGGTTTAAATTTTTTATATAAAAAAATCCAAAAATGTATAGTATATTGGAGTAGTTCTCTACATTTTTTAAAAATAATTTCTGCTGTTATCCCTCGACTGAAAGTCAGCCAAGCAAGCACGTCAACTGTCGAAAAAAACCCGAACCTTTATTGCCATTTTATTTTTCAAAAATTCATCAGTTATTTCCCACTTCGAGTACATCACACCTGCCCCTCGCAGTTGCATCGCGCGACACGTTAGCGATTCCCATGTTATGGTGGGAACAAACCAACCACAAACTCTTACATCCATATACCTTCGATCCAAGTCGCATCACTCAAGTCATCCACCGCCCACTACACCTTCGACAGCGCCGCGGCCCGCGGATGCGAGACGCCGAGATTCCTCTGCCGAAACGCGGCGAGTTTGGGGCGACACGACCGACGCCAGCGCACGCGGCGGCGACCGGGTCCGGGGTTAGGTTAGGCGGCACGTCACCGTCCTCAGGTGCCCTCAGCCATTGCTTTCCACCAGGGTTAGGTTAGGCGGCACGTCACCGTCCTCAGGTGCCCTCAGCCATTGCTTTCTCCACCTCTCCTTCTCGCCAGCTCAGGTCAGGTGGCCTCTACCAGAATACAACGCACCTGACCTCACCAGTTCGGTTGCAAGTCTAACCACCACAGCGGCCGCCATCGGCTGCCATCCAGGACCCCACGTCCGAGGTCGGCAAGCGGCCACATCATGTATCACGCTTCCCGAATAAAGCAAAGAAGAAGCAACGAATTCAGCAGCAGAGACACAATGGTCCAACCAATTTTCAGGAGAACACGCAGCAAACCAGGATCCATCATAAGATAGCAAGCAAGCAAGCAAAGACGAACTACAAAGCTGTTTGTTCCACGGGATGAACTGGGGAGAGGTGCGTTTCATAGGTTGCCTGGACAGAGGCAAAAGCGACAGTACATGGATACAGAGTTCAAATAACAGCTGCAAATGCTAGGCGACTGGCTCTACTAGGGGCCGGCCGGTTCTCACACGAAGGACCAGTTCACGAACATGAAGGCGAGGCAGTGCGGGGTGTCGTCGTCGCTCAGGACCTTCCACGCCACCGCCTGCTCGTAGGACACCGGCCGCCCCATGCTCGATACACACACGCCACCGGGGAGGTACGCGAAGCCCTGAGTACACACAGATTCATGGTGTCATTAGCATTTCAGAGATGGTTGGCATTGGTAGAACCTAGGAGGTTGTAAGGAAGAGAGGTTATCGCATACCTGCTGCATAATCTTAGGGTACTCAGTGCAGAGCGCCTTCCTGCCATCATCATCAAGGATCTTCTCAAGGGAGATGTCCTGGAGAGCAATCAGTGTCGTCTCCAGCATGTCGAGGCCAGCTTGGTTGGCAAAGGTGAACACAGGAGCAGCCTGAATTCATGGTTTCACAAAACTTAACATCAACCAGACAACACAATGCCAAAATTACGAATTGACGAAACAAGCACGAACAACCAATTACCTTCAGGGAACAGCACATGATCGAGTCCGAGTGTTGCCACAGTGCTTTCAAGGAAGCATCCGTGCATTGGGTGTCTGTGCGAAGAAGTTCAGCTCCAGTGTGAAACCTGAAATTTTAACACGACCAGAGATTACAAACTCATTGCACAATTGAACAGAGTATAATATGATTCAGACTGAATAACTGATAGGTCAGCCCATGCTGCCCCACCTCTCTAAATAATTCACAAAATTGATAACCAGATTCAGGAAACAAAAGAGTTTTACCTGTAGCTCCTGCCAATCCACCTCGCAAGGGTGTGTGCCTCAGGAGATCCTGGAGATTGCTTCATTTCAAGCTGCCCACCAAGACGGGAAGGAGCTATTGCCATGGCCACCCTCTGCACCGATGCCACCACAGTCCTGACATATTGCCTGGCCATTGCTGCAACGCTTTCCCGTAGGTGATTCTCATATGAGAACTGGAAAGCAATGGTCAGCACTAATCTTGTGTTGCAGGTGCTGGAGGCATCACTTGAAGCACGAGTAGTCCCACCAGATCCAACCTCAAGAGTAGATGCTAGGTCAAGTGTGCGTGTGCCTGATGGTGGATCCTGCCAGTTCATTGTTACCAACGCATCGTTAGTTTAGCCCATCACAAACAGTAACACTACAAGCACAAAAAAGTAGTACTAACCGTCTTTGCATCCAGTGGAATGACACGGAAGCCTGAGGGCAGCAGTGGTGCATCATCAGCAAAAGATTCATCAATGGGTGCAAATACAAGCTGTGCACATGCACCAGCTGCATTTTCATCCACGCCACTGCACAACTGCAAAAGAATATACAATGCTGTGAGGCTGATGCAACAACACAACTGAAATGAAGACAAAGTGAAAAGGCTATCTGATCGTATACCTGCAGAAGATACATATCTCGTGACAGAACAACTTCATCATGGCAGAGGCTGTGTCCCTCAAGCCTAATAACCTCCAAGAACTGCAAAGAAAAGTCAGTTTGATGAAAATGATCAGTCAATCAATGGGGTAAGGAATTTATTAAATTGAAATTAGCTAGAAATTACCTCTTCATGCTCTAAGGTATGTGCAAGCGGCAGAATAACATGGCTGCCCATAAACCCACTAGCGCGCAAGCCAGGAACTGCATATGGACTAGCCCTCAGAGCAGCGGCAGAATAAGCATCAACACCAGGATCAGCCCATTCGGAGCGATGCTCCCTCAGAAATCGTACTAGTAGGGCAGGTGGCACATTCTACATTGAGACAAAGTCGTAACATCTTTGTTATAATCATGTTATATAACATCAAACACAAGTGCATAACTGTAGCTAGAACTGGACAGATCTGTCCAGAGAGTAAGCATTTCTGACAGCAACTTCTAACATCTATAATTCTTAGACTATAAGGCCTATGATTATAGAAATTTAACACAAGGTATATAAGTAAGTTATCTACAACTTTGTTATTAACAAGTTTCACAGAAAAGGTCATTATCATCATGAAATTATTACCATAATAGAAACTATACATGCAACCATCTAGTTGAATTATAGAGCAATAATTAACTAGATGCCTATAAATAAATACTTCTAAGCCCCACTAATAATATCAACAAATTATATGCATTACACACACCACAGAAAACATCATGGTTAAGCTTAACTAATTTATTTATATTCATTTATTAATTTCCTTAGATAATAAGATGATTTAAAGGATAAATATTTTTAGTACTTAATAAATAATGAGAAAATTACAGTAGCCTACAAATGACCCTAATAGGCTACTGTACAAATTTCATGCTATTTGAATAATTATAGCTACCTCTACAAAAATGACAAGTTACATATGCTTATTTTAGCAAAAATAGTTTAACATAGTGAAAAGTGTCAAGCAACAGATTTAATATTTTTAATACTTTCCTCCTAGCATGAGAATACTGTGTAAAAAATTGTATGCTCATATGTTATCTATTTTTACCCCAATTAATTTCACTATAAACTAGCAATTAATTATGATTAAATATGAAGATCATATTACAAGTTTGCTTACTATAGGTTTAATATTTTTTCCTAGCTAGAGCACGTATTTTATGAAGTTTGCATTCAAATCTGTGAAAATAAATCAAGAAAAACATTTCAAAAACTGACTGACACCTGGGACCCGCGAGTCAACGGGACCCACATGTCAGCGACACAGAGCAGGGGTGCGGCTTGACCGGCGGCAAACTCATCGACGGCGAGGTCACCGACAGCGAGGTCATCGGCGTCGTGTTCCTCACTCTCTTACGCACCTACAGGTACCCTAGGTTTGCTCTGGAGGATCACCGGAGCTAGCTCGCCGGCGCGCATGGCGGATCGGCGGCGGAGCGCGGTGGTGCTCTGGCCATCCCCGACAACGGCATGGCCAAGCGAGCATGGCTACGGCATCTACGAACCCTAGCAGAGCTCTACAGTGTGGATCGAGCCATGGTGAAGCGACGGTGAGCTCCGACCACGTGCATGGTGGCACGGCGGCCCACAGAGCACGGCGGTGGTGTCACCGTTCCGACGAGACAGCGGCCAAAGATAGGTCTCCATCATCAGGGAAGGTGCAACACCTCTAGGCGACACGGTAACGGGTACCCGAGCGGGCTAAGGGCGGCCGGTGAAGTTGGCAGCAGCAAGCGTGTGCTTGCAGCCATGGAGGACGCGCACGGCGGCGGCGCGCATTCCCTCATGACGGCGGCGGTAGCGGTTAAATAAACGATGACGTGAGCATCTATGACCTAAGGCGATGACGGAACGAGGGACAAGGAGGTAGGAGGAGTGGTGGATAAGGCTGGGCATGGTGAGCTCGGAGCTCAGCGACGCTCCATGACCATGGCGGCGATGGCAACGGCCCGTAGGCCTTTAGCTTGGCTTGAGCTAAGGCAATGGTGGGTCCACGAGGTGGAGGAGGTGATGGCCGAGCAGTGTGTGCGAGCAATCGCACAATGGCACGGTGGCAGTGGCGTGCGAGCGCGGCGAAGCTCAGCAATGGCGATGGCGGCACTCGGCTTGCTGCTGCGGGTGAAGGAGAGATAGAGAGAGGGCGAGAGAGCGAGAGTGAGCGAGCGTGGTGGCTTCACCTCCTTTATGTCCCCCTGTTGGCCCAACCAGCCGAGCTGACGCCGACGTGCTGCCACCACGCGGCGCGCGTGGCCTAGCACGGTCGGCCACGACGGCCAGCCGATTCAAATTGGCTAAGTGCCGATCAGCTGACTGACAGCGCTACTTCGTTCCTCTATATCTCCTAATCCAATTCGAGTTAGCAAAATTGGTGTTAGTGAAAGTTGTAGAGCTATGTGAGATATTCAACTTTGCATTAGGAACCATCATCTAATTCTCAATGGTTTTCAAACTACAAAGCTCCAAAATGGACTACATTGAAACTGAAACTCAGTTAAAGACAGCGAAATTTCAAGTTTTGAAAACAACATTTTGTTGATAATTGTGAACTCTATTTGACCATGTTAGACACTGAATTAGATCATGACCTTTAAATAAAGTTTGTTACACATGACAAGAACTACAACTTTTATTTAGGTCACACAGCCATACAAACACTCTAAGCTAATGTTCAACTTTAGTCAAACTAGCATCATGAAAATGGCATTTCAAATGAAACCAACACTTAGAAGCAAATTGGGTCTATGTCATGAATATAAACATTATTCCAATTATCATTCTAGATGTGTCTAAGGCATTTTCATGACCTCACAACCATCTCATACATTCGTCATACATGATTGCAAGCATAAGCATATATATAAAATCAACATTTCATGTGATAAGGTATAAGAATGAGATGAAATTTCATATGCTGATGTTCATGAATGCTTGGATGATGCTTGTGCTCATGAAATGCAAGTGCCAAATGTAAAGCTTAACACTGGGGTGTTACACCGACCAGTCCAGATATTTGGGATCAACGACCGTGTCGTACTTGGTGATCGACATGACCTGCCGAGCGGTGAGCTTCTGCTGGTGTTTGGTTTTGGAGGCGGCGCCTCCTCCAAAGATTGTGGTGACCGTCTTGTTGGCATCCTGGAAAGCAAGTCATGCATCCTTAGAACGTTCCTCCTCCTTGCCGTCATCGGACTCGTCATCCTTGCGCGTCTGCCGTTTCTGCTGTTCATCGCGAAAAGCTTTGGCCATGCCATAGCATTGCCACATGGTGTGCTTGTTGTTCTTGTGAATTGGGCACGGACCATCAAGGAGCTTTTCATAGGCAGCATTAAAATTGCACTTAGTGCGTGGCTGCTCTACATTGTTGATGAAGTTTTTCGATCGACGGCGACGTGTCTGTGCAGTCCTCGATCCCTCTGGCCGATCATTATGCCGGCGTTCACGATCATCGTAACGCCTATCATGATCTTCATAATGCCGTTCTTCATGGCGATCATCATCACGACATGGGTGGCGATGCGAGCAGGAAGCACGATCAATGTCGTATTTGAACTGCCGATCAGCTTCTTCGGAATCTGCGTATGAGTTTGCAACCTTGAGGAGTTTGTCGATGGTCTGGGACCTCTTGTGGTAAAGTTTGGAGCGCAGCTCTTGATGGTGATGGAGTCCTCTAGTGAAAGTGGAGATGGCCTTGCTGTCTTCGATGTTGGGGATGGTGTTCCTTGTTTCAGAGAAGCACCTAATGTAGCTTCACAGAGGTTCCCTAGAAGTCTGATGGAGTTTCTCCAGATCATATTTCATGCCCGACTGTTGGCACGTTGTCATGTAATTCTCGACGAAGACTTTCTTGAGATCATCCCAAGATTCGATGGAATCCTCCCTTAGGCCCATAAGCCAATTGTTGGCTGTCTGGGAGAGCATGACAGGCAAATAGTTTGCCATTACGTCACTGTTTCCCCTGGTAGCACGTACGGCTATCTCGTAGAGCTGCATCCACTGCTCGGGATTAGCCTTGCCGTCGTAGGGATCAATCCCAAAGATCTTGAAGCCTGCGGGCCACTGTACAGCTCGCAGCCGATGAGGTCCCATTGGCTCGATAGCGGGGAGTGGTTGGAGGTCGACGAGGTTGCCGTGTTGGTCGTCGTACTCCTATCGACATTGGAGTTCTGCCTGATGTTGCTGGGCACGACTTTTCTCGATGCAATTATGGACATCGAGATTGGCGTTGATGCAGTCATGGGCGTCACCATGCAGGGGTTGATTAACCTCCTGGTTGGCGTTACGAGCTGGTTGGCCATGCTGATTTCGCGGTCCTTGTGATCCAGGATTGATAGCGACATTGCCCCTAGACCCCCTTTGGACGATCTGGCCGCTATGGTAATGACTCCCCCATCATGGTTAAAACTACGGGGGTTATGACTGCGTGCAGTCGCTATCGAATAAGACGGAGCTGGGTTTCGGATGTCGTTGACTTGGACCTGAGCTGCTTTAAGTAGTGCTTGAATCTTGAGTACCTCCGGCATTAGTGGAAGTCTAACCAACTCATGGGTAGCCACAGCCAGATTGGCGCTCGGTGTCTTCTCTACTTGCTGGTTGTCCACCATGAGGAACTCTTGTTGAAGATTATGGGCGAGAGGCGGTGGGCCACCTCCAACAGCTTGGACGACATTTCTGCTTCTCCGTTGCGACATCGCTGGCGATCAGCGTTCCTGGCTTTGCGCTCATGGCGCTGGACACTGGTTTCTCCATCGATAGCGATGCTATCATGGCTAACCATGAAGAGCTCTCTGCCAAAGCCTAGAGGAAAAGGTGGGCATGTGCTGGTAGAGCCTTTGGAGTATGGCTCAGGGCTTTTCTCTAGGATTGTTTAGAGCATGTCATCCGGAAGGTATGTTCGGATTTGCACCATGTTTACCATTGGCGCAGGCTGGTCGGCCTCAAGGAAGTCGATCTGATAGAGGTCATCAACGCGGCTGCGCTCGACGTGGTTGCCAAAAAGATGGTGCACGACATCCTAACAAATCAGACCTACACCCACCAGCCCAAAAGAATAGGGCTTCGGCATGCTCTCCGTCGGGGCGGGGAGTGGTCGGAGTTGAACGGTACGCCCTTCCGGAGTTGTTGTGATCACCAGATCGGAATCTGGCCACCTTGAATGAAGTGGTCGAGCAGGTCACTCGGTTGTAGCGGCTTGGTGATCTTGGAGTACGGGAAATTTGTCGCTCGCTCTAGATTGATCTAAGACCAAACCCACGAGGAGCTGACATTCTTCTAAGCAGTCTGTGACCCGATCAATGGATGCGATCAGATCATCATTGCTGATG